AAGAACTAAAACAGATGTAGAAGAAAAAAACAAACAACCCCATTCAAAAGTGGGCAAAGGATATGAACAGACACTTTTCAAAAGAGGACATATATGAGGCCGAAAAACTTATGAAAAAATGCTCATCATCACTGGTCATTAGTCAAAACCACACTGAGATATCATCTCATGCCCATTAGAATGGCAATCATTAAAAAATCTGGAGACAACAGGTGCTGGAGAGGATATGGAGAAATAAGAACACTCTTACACAGTTGGTGGGAGTATAAATTAGTACAACCATTGTAGAACACAGTGTGGCAATTTCTCAAGGATCTAGAAATAGAAATTCCATTTGACCCAGCAATCCCACTATTGGGTATATACCCAAAGAACTATAAATCGTTCTACTATAAAGACACATGCACACATATGTTCATTGCAGCTCTGTGTACAATAGCAAATACCTGGAACCAACCCAAATGCCCATCAATGATAGACTGGACAAAGAAAATGTGGTACATATACACTATGGAATACTATGCAGTCATAAAAAAACAATGAGTTCCTGTCCTTTGTAGGGACTTGGATGAATCCGGAAACCATCATTCTCAGCAAACTGACCCAAGAACAGAAAGCTAAGCACCATATGGTCTCAGTCATAAGTGGGTGTTATACAACGAGAACATGTGGACCCAGGGAGAGGAGCATCACACACAGGGGACAGTTGGGTGGGGTAGGGGAGAGATAATGGGGGTGGGGGGTGGGAAGGGATAACATGGGGAAAAACCTACAGTAAAATAAATTAAAAGGTTATAAGTGTATTTTAATGTGTATGTTGATATATTTTAAAGATAAAAAATTAAAACAAAATGGAGGAACTTACCTGGGGATAGTTAAAAAGCTTTTGATACAGAGGGGAAGGACAAGTAAGACATCATTGTAAGGATAATAGAGTTAAAACTTTCAGGAGATAAGAGAGCTATTCATTGGATAATCTAGAGGAAAAACTTTTTGTATAGAGGGAACAACAGGTTCAGTGGCCCTGAACATGCCTACTTTGTTTCTAAAACATCCAGGAAGTCAGACTGAACAAGCAAAAAGTAGTAGGAGCTGAGGTTGGGGTGGAAGAGGAAAGTTGGAGTGTCTTGGGAGTCATTGTGATAATTTGGATTTTTTTTATCTTGAATGAGATTGGAAGCCATTGGAGCCACTGGATCATTCTTTCTACTCTGTTGGGTTGTATTATGAAACAGTTATTTCCACTATATTTGCCTCTTTCTTTATCATAGTCTTTGTGGATATTCAAGCTGGTTACTTTGCAAAATTAGCTCCTATCTGATCAGGAACTTCCAGAGTTGAAGCAAAAAAGCTCAGCAACCATAGGAGTTAACAGTATGAGATAAAGCCAAAGAGACAATGAGAGATTTGCTAAGAGTAGTGATATGATCAGAATTTGTTTTTCCCTGTTGAAAATAGAGTGAAAGGGGAAATGTGAGAGCAGGGAGATGACTAAGAAAGCCATTGCAGTTAACCAGGCTCAGGATGGAGTTGGTATGAAGTAGCTCTGGTAAAGTGAGGTGATCATGGATTTGTCCACAATTCAAACAAAGCTTATAAGAGACAGAAGGAGTCATGTTCTCTACCTGGAGGTATGTAAATACTATTAACTGTGATGGAGAAAATTTTAGGAGGGACAGGTCTTAAAAAGAATATCACAAGTTCAGTTTCAAGTGTGTTAAATTTTAGATGTTTATTAGATATCTGTGGAAGTGGAAATGTTAGGTTTGCTGTTGGATATGAGAGGATCAGTTAATGGAAGAATTCCAAACTGAAGTTATAAATTTGAGAGTCATTAGCTTGGAATGGTAGTTAGATCTCTAGGTCTGTCAGCAAAATTTATCTTTTCTATCTAAAGTATAGTGCCATACTAATGTTATTAAAAAATTTAACCACTACCCATAACATTATTTCTGTGGGAAAGTCTCCTAAACAGTGTTGGGAGACTCAGAAGATCCCTCCCACCAGGTATTGGACTAGAGACACCTGTCTTCAAACCTATAATGTATGGCGTATGATCCAGCATGAAAAAGTCTATTGTGGGGAAGGGGTTGGAGATCAGGTTGTTGGGGATTTTCCAATTTTGACCAGAAATTTTCAAGACAAAACTAATTAAATGACAGAGTTTCTACTATATAGCTCTTGCATGAGTAGAATATGACATCTACAGTTAGATTGTTGTTTCTCAAAGTCAGTAATTTACAGTTGTATGCTGCATAAGGACATTTCAGTCAGCTGCAGACCACATATAAGATGGTAGTACCATAACATATATAATACCATATTTTTATTATACCTTTTATATGTTTAGACACACGAATATTTATCAATTTGTTATGTATTCAGTGCAGTAATATGCTGTACAGGTTTTTAGCCTAATTGTGTAGTAGGCCATACCATCAGGGTTTGTGTAAGCATACTCAAAGATGTTTGCATAACAACAAAATTTCTTAATATATTTCTCAGAACATATTCCCATCATTGAGTGATGCATGACTGTATATAATGCTTCCATGTTTTCCTGAAATACCTATCCTGGAACAGTAACATAAAATGAAAGTATAGGGAATTATTACTAAGTTCATTTTGTATTTATGAGACATTATTTACTGAAGTTTTACCTATGAACTGGTCTCATTGTGAGAACTTGAAATGTTTGAGGATTTAATTAAGGATATGCATTACTATAAGTATAGGAATGTTTCCTTGAGTGTCTCATACTTATGTCAGGATTTTATTGACTTTAGGAATTAAACATGTATGAGTAGATAATGATCTGTTGTGAGTATTTCTATAATTTGCCATTTATTTTATGAAATGACATGGCAATAATCTTTGTAATTTTTTATTCTCTTATTTTTTTTATTGAATTTGTAATTTAGATACTCACCAACTCTAGGTTTGATAAATTTTGGTAATTATAACAGTTACGTAACCACTAGCATAATTAAGAATATTTCTATCCTCCTAAAAACTTTCCTTGTGTCCTTTTGTAGGATATTTTCTTTTTCATTCTCAGAGAATCACTGATCTACTTTTAGTTTTGACTTTCCTAGAATATTGTACAAATGGAATCATAAGATGTAGACTTCTTATATCAGTTCTTCCACTTAGCACATAGCATTTGGGAGCCATTGATATCTTTTTGTGTATTAATGCCTTCTTCCATTTTATTGCTGAGTAGTATGCCATAGTCCAAGATATGCTACTACTTCTTTTATTATTTACCAATTGATGGACATTTGAGTTGTTTCTATTTTTTCCCAACTGTGAATAAGATTGCTCTGAATATTCACATATAAGCTTTTGTATGGACATGTTTTACTTTCTCTTGGATGAATAGAAGTGAGATAGATGGATCATTTGTAAAGTGTATATTTAACTTTATGGTAAACTCACAGTGTTTTCCAAAGTGGCCCTACCATTTGACATTTATATATATCTCACTGTGGTGGTGGTTTGCATTTCTTTAGTAATATTAGGCATCTTTTCACATTGGCAATATGTATATTTTATTTTGTGAAGTGTATGTTTGAATATTTTGCCCATTTTCTAATCAGGTTGCTTGTCTTCTTATTGGGTTGTAAGATTTTTTTATTCTAGATATAAATCCTTTCTCAGATAAATGTTTTGCATATAGTTCTTATTTTTATTTTTTTAACAGAAGTTTTAATTTTAATAAACTTTATTTCAAAAATTCTTTTGTTATTCCTGATTTTTATGCCCTGTATAAAAAATGTTTGCCTATCAGAATGTCACAATTTTCTTCCATGTTTTCTTCCATAAAATATCATTTTTCTATTATATTTAGATCTGTGAGCCACTTTTAATTAGTTTTTGTGTTTGGTGTGTGACAGGCAAAATTCTCTCTTTTTTTTTTTTTTTTTGTATTAACATCTAGTTACACCATTACCATTTGTTGAAAAACCTATCTTCTGCATTAAATTATCTTGGGGACTTTGTCAAAAATCAGTTGATTATATAAGTATGGATCTACTTCTGGACTTTTTTTTTTGCCCCGTTCATTTATATGTCTATACCAGCTGTAGCTATACTATACTGTTTTAGCTTTATATTCTTGAATCAGTAAAATTCTTCAACCTTATTCTTTTTCAAAATTGTTTTTATTTTTCTAGGCATTTTTTCCCTTATTTTATAAATTATAATATCCACTTATCAATTTCTTTACAAAGCTTAGCTAGGATTTTAATTAGGATTGAATTGAAACATGAAGAAAGAATTGCCATCTTTGTATTGAGTCCACTATTTCATGAACATGGTATATCTCATATCAAACTTTTAAATTTTTTATGCAATATTTTATAGTTTTCAGTGTATAGGTTTTGTACATCCTTTGTTAAATTTATTCCTACATATTCTATTTTAATTGAATTGTTTTACATTTTTACTTCCTAATTTTTCTTTTTTTTTTTTAATAGAGACAGGATCTTGCTCTATTGGCCAGGGTAGTCTTAAACTCTTGGGATTAAGCAGTCCTCCCTCCTTGGCCTCCCCAAATGCTGGGATTATAGGCATGAGCCACCAACCTTGACTCCTAATTGGTTTTTGCTGTTATATTATATATGTTCTGATGATTCATTGTTAATTTTATTGACTTTGTATCCTGAAACATTACTAAATTCACTTACTATTTCTGTTAGCTTTTTGTATATTTTTTAGGATATTCTGCAGACATAATAATGTCATCTATGTATATAGAATTTCTTCCCTTACATTATTTATTTATTTGACTTCTTTTCCTTGACTTAGTATACCAGCTAGAACCTCTATAAAATGTTATATAAAAATGATGAGTGGTTGGTTTTTCAAGGAATAAAAAAACTAAAATTTAAAATAATATTTAAGTTATATAATTCATTTGTTTGGTTACTTCAAAAAAATCTACAATGCTTTCTATTACCATTTGCCTAAAATTCTTTGTTCTTTTTTTCTAACTTTAGGTGATTGACTTGGGTTCCGGGAAAGGCTACCTAAGCTCCTTTTTGTCCTTGAAGTATGGCTTAAAAGTTTATGGAATTGATTCCTCAAATACCAATACTCATGGAGCTGAGGAGAGAAACAGAAAATTGAAGAAACATTGGAAACTGTGTCATGCTCAGTCAAGATTAGATGTCAGTGAACTGGCATTAAAAATGTCAAAAGAAAGGAAAGCGCAAAATGCAATTAAAAATAAAGCAGATATTGAGGAAGTTTTTAATAACAGTCTTACAAATCAAGAAAAGATGTCTACCTCAGATTTTTTACCTGATTTTTCTGGCTCTGTGATTTCTAATATCAGAAATCAGATGGAAACCCTACATTCTCAGCCACATCAGGAAGAAAATTTGTGTTTTGAAAATGTCTTTCCTCTTATAGACCTTTTGCCTATTAATGCCATAGAGCCTACTTCTTCACAGCAAATACCCAACAGAGAAACATCTGAAGTCAATAAAGAGAGAAGAAAAATGACATCAAAGTCAAGAGAATCAAATATATATTTACCTTTAACCTCTTTTATCACTGCTGACTCAGAACTCCATGACATTATTGAAGATTTGGAGGTGACTTTATTTTGGAATTATTTAATTTGATTCATAAAAATATCGAATTCAATTTTAATAGTAGCTTACTTAATATACATATCTCACTTGATCACATTAATCTAACAGACCAAGAAAATAAAATCATAAGTAGGCTTTCATTATTCCCACACCTATCAGAATCTGACATGAGCCTATTCAGAATAAAATATCCTTTACTCATTTCAAACCTCTTGAGTCAAATAGAAGTACTAGCACAAAAGCTAGTAAGTAAACTAAGTTCTCACTCTGCAGATTAGGAATTGCTACAATTCTAAACAAGCAATTAAATTTTAATTTAAATTTGAAGCAAAGGGATATCTAGAACAAAATAGTATTCAATATTAGACTTGCCAGTATGGAATTTTCTTGAGCAAGAGTAGCTTCTAAGTGTTTTTCAAACCTTGAACTTTTTCTAAATTACAAGTATGTCAGTTTATGTAATTGAAAGACAGCAGAACTTCAACAAAGGCAACCTTGCATGTTAAAACAGCATTATAGAGGAGCCTTTGGAGATCATCTGGCCTAACTCATTGTCTCAAAAAAGAACAAAAAAGGTACCCTTGGGAGTTGTAGTACCCTTGTAACTTTTTTTTTTAAGAAAGTCTTCCCTGAAGAAATGTGTAAATAAAAGATACTAGAGTTATTTATCAATTTAAATTCGTGTTTGATAGATGATTAATGTTTTGCCATTTTTTTAATGGGAACTTTTTCTTTTTCCCAGATATTTCTGGATTTAAGGGAATCTAGTGTACCTTCATGAATTCTTTTTTTTATACATGAAATAAATAATTAAGCTATTTTAGACTTTCTCTTAGGGTTAAGCAATCCCAATTACTTTAGCTTAATTTTTAAAAATGTCAGTTTCTAGTACATGTTATCACTTTCTAATTTTCTCAGTATCTTGCTAAAAGTATGTGATCAAAACTGTATGCAAACTCTTGTAAGAATCATCTAAAATAAGATATGCTGGAAGAATGTATCTTAGATCCTGTAGTGAATCACAATTTAATTACAGAATTAACTAACACCTCCTATTCCCTTCACCCTCTCAAAATACTTAAAATATGTTACTAGTAGGATAATACGGTGATTACATATTTTTGTCTCCTAGCTGCTACTTGGTAATATTTATTAATTCTATATGATAAATGCAATAAAGAATGAGTTTAAATGTTCTTGTATGTTTTTAGAGACAGCTAACTTAAGTATAAAAAGAGAAATTTGTAGCTTTGTTGCTCTACCCTTAATTAGCACTAAATCTTACATTTTTGAATTATTTTTACTTATGACATCATAATATCTAAATAAAACCTATGTAAACTAATCATGAAGACAAGCAGAGTAGCTGCATAACCCTCTAAAAACTGTGCTTTGAAAAGATAGTGCTTGAAGCAACTGAGTGTTCTATCAGGTCAAAAACCATTTACAGACACAATTTTTTTTCGTTAGTTTCATTTCAGCTCTCTTTTATGTCTAGGGTACATAGGTTAAAATAACATTTTCAGTAAAATAATTTTTAAAAATCTTTGAAACAATTATATTCTGACAGTTATAAAAATGTACTTGAGACACAAGTTAATACTTAACGTTATTTTGAATTTGTAAAGTAAATTATAATTATAAAAAATGGACAGTGTTTTCTAAATTTTATTATATGGTATGTACTAAGTCATTCACAGGGATTAGTTTACTTAAGTTTTGAAAGAACCTATTGAGATGAGGTACTGTTATTATCTCCATCTTACAGTTGAGGAAGCTAAAGCACTGAAAAGTTATGCTTTCCTAATCACACTGTGATGGAACTTGAATTTAAACAGGCTGTTTCCCAAGACTGTGCTCTTAATGATTGCACTACAGTTTATGTAATTAGTTCATTAATAATCAATACTTTAACATCTCTTGAGTAAACTCATGTATCTTTGATATTTTATTTAGAACTTTAAAATTAATTTTAGCTGGTATTGTAAAGGAATTCTTCTGTTGGATGAGGAATACTTTAGAGAACACTTTGAGACACATGATGTTTTAATTTTAAAAAACTAGAAATTAATATACCTATATTCACAGATTTACACTGAAAACATGACCTTTATATTATCAGAGTTTAAGAGTGTCATCTGGAAAAATGAGAGGGTGATATTAGAAATTTTTTAGTTACAAATGTGAAAGTATGTGATTCTAATAGGGTACAAGTTTTCTGTATAATTTTTTTTTTTTCTATACAGGTTTCTTTTTACTCCTTCTTTAACTAAATTTCTATGAATCATGTCAAAGACAGAAAAGTATTATAGTAAATTCAATTTAAAATGATTGTTATATTGAACAAGATTCCTTGCATCTTACCTTTGTACCCATTGTACCCATGTGTGTGTATACATTTAAATTAGGCTTTGGATAATTAGAATAAACATTTCATATGAGAATTCTAAGTAAAATGTATGTTATAACATTTGGAAAAAAATGTTTTAAGTAAATGTTATATTGTCATATTTGATGCAGTGAATAAACTAAGATTTCTGTTGTTAAAGTAGAGATACCAAGTTTGCAACAGTTATATTTATTTTTCATAGCAATATTTTATAAGGTTTTTGATGGGCAATCTGAGAAGTGAAATTAATTTTAAAAATTAATGCTATGGTAAAAGTGTGATATAAATATATATGAAAGCGCAGGTTTGGTCTAGTAATACATGTTACATTCTATTAGTACAATTGTTGCTTTGTCAAATATTAGTTGTAAAATGAGAGAAAATATAAACAGGTAAATAATGAAATCACTGAAAAAATTCAGAAGTTGTAAAGATATCACAGTTATTTTACTTATAAAGAAATAATTACTTATGAAAATAAAAGCATAGAATACTTTCTAGGTATAATTTATAATTATTAATACCTTTACATATTGTAATGGACATTTAAAATCTTTACCTCATGCTGGGGGTTGTACAAGTGCTTGTAGTCCCAGCTACTTGGGAGGCTGAAGTGGGAGGATCATTTGAAGCCAGTAATTTGAGTCTGTAGCACGTGATGTTCATGCCTGTGAATAGCCACCACACTGCAGCCTGGGTAACACTGCAAGATCCCATATGTAAAAGTAAAAGAAATAAAAATTTTAAACAACCCTCTTTTTAATTGCTAAGTTTATTTTTCTTCTTGTCTTTTAAAGGATTGTTTGATAGTAGGTCTACACACTTGCGGTGATCTGGCTCCAAATACTTTGCGAATATTTACTTCCAACTCTGAAATCAAGGGAGTTTGCAGTGTGGGTTGTTGCTACCACCTCTTATCTGAAGAATTTGAAAACCAGCATAAAGGTACAAGTTCCCCATGTGTCGTAATTTGTATTCATTTGAGCGTAATGACTGCTTTCTATTTCTCCTCTTTTTGACCATTACCGTGATTTGTATTAACATTTAAGATTACTTGCATTTTTAGTGTTACAGTGTTATTGAAATTTAATGCAAACATGTAGGTTTGTTATAGTTTCTTTGGGCGTAAGGAGTGCTGAAGCCTTTGCAAATATTTGAAAATTTTATGTGGTGTGTATTTTAAGAAAACTTTTGTTTCTAACTACTTGTGAAGTATACATTTACTAAGATAGTAAAACTGAGTTGTTATGAATATTGATTTTCAAAGTTTGCTTTTGTTTCCAAAGCCTTTTTCAATTCTAAAGGAATACTGATATTTAAAAAAGAAAAATTTCTTTACTGTATTTTGAAGTCAGCATACCAAAATTTTAGAAAACTGCAAAACTGTGTGATTTTATTAAAATAATAGTATTCAAACTATGCTACCTGTACGTAGAAGGTGCCTGATGAGCAAAGTATGGAGTAGGTTTGCAAGATTTGAAGCGCCCACGTGTTCATTCAGAGTAGCTTCTGAAGTACCTCTGTTTGCTCCATTTTATGTTTTAAATTTTTCCATGAGATACTGTAAGATACGATTTCAAAACCTCTGGTTCAGATTAGATGATTTTTTAGTATACTACTATTAGCAATTCATTTTTATGTTAGTTTAATGATGTCTTTATCTGTGTCCAAAATTTCTTGCTAAGAGTTTTAGATCAGGAATTTTTAGGTTACCAACTTTTGTGTGCATTAAGATGGTTGGTCTTTTCTTAGTTTTAAAACCCAGTTGAATATATTTTAATTATTTCTTATTTCATCATGTCCAGGAGGTAAATATTGTAATTGTTTAATTTTCTTGAAATATAACAAGGTGAAACAGAAGCAATTTTTAGAATTGGCAAAGATTTTTATGAAATAGAGTTAATCAAATTGGAATCATTTTATGTCAGTGTTTGACATTTTTATTTTAGGAAAAGTATGAAATAGTGAAATTATGACTATGCAGAGATAGAATGAAGGAAAGGAAATTGGCAAAAAATTAGCACTAGTTTAATTTAGATGGAGAATATATGATTGTCATGAAAACCACCTCATTGTTTTCTAAGTACAGAAATTTTCAAGATCAAAAATCAGTGAAAAACAATGAACTTAAAAACAGAAAAAAAAATTTTCTTCTACTAAACTATATACCCACATATTTACATTATGTTATAGTATTTTCATGTATCTTTTCTGAAATAAATGAAAAAATAATGTAATCACAGTTCTACAGCTTTTTAAATATTAAATGTATGATATTTTCCTTAATTGGCAGTAGGGTAAGATTTATGTAGGGAAGCACTTCCTTTTGGGGTATATTATTTGGTTCTTAGTTCAAGAGTTTCCTGTTTTGTAGGTACAACGAAATTCAATTAATAAATGGCTCAATTTGGGATGGGTGTAGACGTTTGTGTGTCGTTAAATTTGAAGATACTAATCTGAGCACTTTGGGAGGCTGAGGCGGGCGGATCACCTGAGGTCGGGAGTTCAAGACCAGCCTGGCCAACATGGTGAAACCCTGTCTCTACTAAAAGTACAAAAAATTATCTACGCTTGGTGGCAGGTGCCTATAATCCCAGCTACTCGGGAGGCTGAGGCAGGAGAATCACATGAAGCCAGGAGGCGGAGGTTGCAATGAACAGAGGTTGTGCCATTGCACTCCTGCCTGGGCAACAAGAATGGAACTCCATCTCAAAAAATAAAAAAAATTAGAGATACTACCCTACTTTTTAAATATCTTTAATTTCCATTGCCTGCTTCCTTCTTTCACTTCATCATCATTGTCCCCAAGGATGCCTTTCCGTTCCAAGGGGCCTCCCTCTCCTCTTCAGGCAGTACCTTCTTAAGACTGTCATCTCTGATTCTACTGGACCCTAGGAGCCATCGCTCTGTACCATGACGTCTCCAAGCTAGTCTCAGTATTTTCCCACCAAAGATGGATCTTATCTCTTTTGGCAGTGTACTCTACTCTCTGTCACCTCTTTTCTGCACAGTTGCACCTTACCCTTTCTCCAGAGTGATCCCTAGAGCTCATTCTGCTAGTTTAGGATAGTGTCTTTCCTAACATATTTAAATTAAAATTTGTTGTATTGCTGTGGATTGTAAATAATTTTATCTTTTTGTCAGTTTATTTGTAAAATATATAAAGAGATTCAGATTTAAGTGACTATCATTATTTTATGGTAACCAGAAGATGCCATTAGTGTATTTTTTTTATCTGATGTTGGATTCTTTAATCCTGTACTTAAAAAAATTAGCAGAAGTTACTTGCCAGTTTTGAAAGTAATTAATAGATTTAGTTACTCCTGGCTACCCCATTTTAAATAGTCTTCCAATACCTTTTCTATTAGATTATTAAATAGTCTTCCAATACCTTTTCTATTAGATTATTACTTTAAACTCTTAGCCATGTATTTCTAACTAAAATTAATTTGAATAGGGCATGTTAGGAGAGAGGGCTTTGAAAAACCTAAAGGGAGAAAGAAACAAGATTAGTGAGTGCATCCACATATTGTCATTCCCATTTCTTTCCTGCAAATGAAAAATTGGTAGATTCATTAGTCTTGAGAGGCACCAGATTCTGCTCACTTTTGTATCTTCAGTACTAAACATATTCACTCAAACATGATTGATATAGATGGATGTTTGTATAATATGTGTTAAAAGAAAGTAATTAGGAGTAGAAAAAAACAATCACTGTTTTCCTGCCGTGGCAGCTGCATTTTACACACATAAGAGAGTATGTGATTGCACTGAACAAACGTTTATTGAGCAGCTACTATTTTCAAGACACTGTACTTTGTACTTTATGTAAAATAATGGGAAATGGGGGAGAGGCTCATAAAAAGTCAATAGTTATGGAAAGAGATAGGAAAAATAGATAACAAGCAGAGTTCAATTCAACGTTAATCAATGCTGTGTTCAACTCTGTGTTTAGTGATGGAGGTGCAAAAATATATGAGATATCACCTTCACCCTTAAATAATTTCTTTAAAAAGCCCTCAATCCTGGGAACCAGATAATCCTTAGTAATTTTTTAAACCACTGCTTCTTATAAAAATTATTTAGAATAGAAAATTCAAATAACAAAGAAAAAGAAAATACAAAGTCCCCATAATTATATTAGTTTCTTATATATCTTTCCAGGAAAAAAAAGTACATATACACATTCTATATTCTTATATGTTTTAGGCAAACAAATGTATAAACTGTTCATCCCATTTTTTTAGTAATGTATTTTGATAGTCTTTCTATATCAGCGCAGAGAATGTTGCCTTAGTCTTTTTAATTTGCAAGGTATTTAATATACTGTATTTTATTTATTCAGTGCTAAATAGTCAATATGTGCTTAAGGCAGTGACACTTTTCTTTTAATAAACCAAAATTTAATAAACAGTTAATCAGTTCAATGTAGAGTTTAGAGAACATAAAATATGGCACTAGTGTTCATCTTTGTTTTCTTTATCATCAAACATTAGTTTCAAAATCATATAGTAATTGCTATTAAACAGGGTATTACATCTTTTGTTTTACAGCAGAGTAGCATGTAGCTCAGTCTGTGAGGGGTTGAGGGTATGTTCCCCTGTGGTGATACCCACTGAGTCTTGAAAGATTCAGTAGAAGTTAATCAGAAAAGGAAGAAGGAAGGGCATTGCAGGCAGAATAAACAAATATATGGGGTGATAGATGTTTAAAATCAAGTTTTTTTCCTCTTTAACTTTCATAGTGACTCTTTCTCATTGTAATTGTCTTTTTTCCCATCTTATTCTTGCTCATGTCTTTCATAGGAAGAATTATAATGATAGTCCTAGTATCCATTTCAGTCGATAAAAAGGCATGATTTTTATTGATCTCCTTTCACATTTAGGATTACTCCATAATCTATTTTCCCAAAAGCTCTTCTTGGTTCACTTAGTTTCTTTCTTTAGTACTTGGTCATTTGTAAAATAATCCCTTTGAGTCTTCTAAGGAAATTAGTTGAAGAGAATAACTCCAAATTTTTGCACACTAGAAATGAAAGCATCTCAGTTAACAGATTCTCAAGCGATGGTCTTGTATCCTGCCTGGGTAAAGGCAGTTGTGTCTTCTCTTTTCAAGTTGCTGTTGTTTACTATATGTTTGCAGGACATTTTGGCCCCATGATTTAAATAAGAAAAAGTGTAGGAAAGGTTTGTCAGAACCATGACCAGCAGCCATGTATTCTGAATAGGCATATAAACTTGGAGAGGCCTTCCTGTCAAAAATATCTTACTTATCAAGAATCATTGATATTATCAGGTAAACAATGCTAGGCTTCAATGGGGAAAGCTAATAGTAATATCTTAGTATTACTTAATTTCCTGATACATACTTGAAATGAACAGACAATTGGGAGTTGATTGTCAGGAAAGCAAAGAATAAGCAGGAAGAAACAGGACTATGACAAAAGGGGTGGGAATGTATGCAACGTGAGCACCCTCAAATAATTTGGAGGTCAAGAAAACAGTTGGAAAGCCAAGAGATAAGAGAAAAACGTGGAAAAGTAAGTGATAGGAATAATGAAAGTAAACTTGGTTTATATTGCAGTTTTGCCTAGCCCTGGACTGCCACATTTTCTCATCTCAAAAACCAGATGGAAAAGGTAACTTACCCCCTTTTCTGTTTCCAACACCCCATCTCCATTTTTCTCACTTTATCTTTTCTGTAATAAAATAGAGAAGACATGAACCATCCCATGCAATTTTTATAACAGTATTTCTCAATTCCAGCTGCCTGAGTCGAATTTGACACTTTAAATGTATGGATGCCTGGACCTGCCTCTTACTTCTGAATGATAATCTCTAGACATAGGACTTAAATCTAAGTATGATTAAGAAGTTCCATAGGTAATTCTGCTACACAGTATGGTTGAAAACAGGTTATGTGTTATGATTATATAAGACGACATG